CTCTCTCTCTCTCTCTCTCTCTCTCTCTCTCTCTCTCTCTCTCTCTCCCTTTCTCTGTCTCTGTCTCTCTTTCTCTCTCTCTTTAAATTTTTTTCTGAGACAGGATTTCAAACTCAAACACACACACCATGAAGAATGATACCTAAGGTTCCCCTCTGCTGTCCACATGAGTAGATGTACACACACACACACACACACACACACACACACACACACACCTACAAACTACCACCACCTCCATGACCACCAAAAAACAACCAAGAAGCAAGCACTGGTGCTAGAGGGTTAGGAGGAAGTTAGAAAGCCACTCGAATACAGCAGAATCTAGTGTAGCCCAAGTCAGTAACTTCCACTTCTCCAACATCCCTTTACAGAGCAGCCAGAATCCAATCTTAAACTGCCAAAAGCCAGGTGAAGAGGTGTAGCACCAGAATCCCATCGTTCAGGACTGGAGGCAGGTGACTTGGCAAGAGTTCTGGGCTAGTGTGACTTTAGACTGAAACCCTGTCTTAAAAAAAAATTGAAACACAAAACGTGGGGCTAGTGGTACAATGTTTGCTTAGCACAGAGAAACCAAAGCCCTGGGTCCTCACCCCTCCTAAAACTGAATAGTCTGATGGAGGTTCGTGCGTATCTGTCGTCCCATCTGGGAAACCTGCCACACAGCCCCTTTCAAAGAACTTTTAGTTAGTGTTGGTCTTAAGAGAGGACAGCTAAGTCAGTAGTGAGCCTGGTTGAAGCCTGGGGAGAAAAGGAAGCCGAAGAGTGGTGTGCGTTGGCAAACATTGCTAAGGTTGGACCAAGAAGGGGGTAGGGGCAAGTTGAGGATTATTGTTTGGGGTCTGGCAGAAAGGCAGGTCCGACTTCTTCCACCAATAAAACAAGGGCCTTCAATTAGATGTATTGCATAAAGTTGCAGAACGCACTCTGCAGTGAGCGAGACAGCAGCATGCCAACACTGCAGGTTTGCAATAGGCCCTCTGGAGTTAGATTGTACTTGATTCTTGGCCTGGCCTACTTTTATTGAGGATTTCCTGAGTGTTGACTTCCCCTGTATCCAACACCACTTTAAGTATTTTCATTTATTAGCTCATGCATTGCTTAAGACAGCTATCAGGTAAGTACCATCAGCATTTCTGGTTACCAGTGAGGAAACTGCTGCCCAGAGCGGTTAGGTAACTTACTCAAAGCTACACCGTTCATAGGTTGTTAACTGGAGCTTGAACCAGGCAGTCAAGCTCTCCACTCACCTGGTTCATTATAATACCAGCGACATTAACATCAAAATGATAATTCCGGGGGAACAAACCACGGGTCAAGCACTAATACCCGCAACGTTCGGGTGAGCCATTTGCAACTGAATATCCTTAGGGACCGGAAGTGGCAGGGTTGCCTCAGAGACAGTGACTTACAGGTTTGGCCTCTCCTGATGTCAGGAAGAAGCGGTGGGGCAGCTGAGTTGAGCAGAGTGGCCTGAAGGAAAATGCAAGCATCAGCGTTCTGTGCAGAGCTCCCCACATTCTTTTGATCAGTGTTTAAAGAATGACTTACTAAACTGAGTTAATTGGGACTACAGCATTTGACACGTTCCTTTTGGTCAAGCTCGAAAAAGGCTCCGTTTACGCTTGCAAATGGTTCAATTAGGTGCTTTAAGTTCGTTTACAAGTTGCCTATTTGATCTCCCTGCCAGACACCGGGAAAATGTCAGAATAAGTGCTCCTGGCTATGGAGTTAGGCAGTGGATCTAGGGACACAATTATCTAGTCCACCTCAGTCTTTGGTGCCCTTTGTTAAACTTCTCAAGGGGGTGGTTCTGTGGTTATGGCAACACTGGCTTGAAAACCATCAATATTCAGGCCACACGCAGCTAGCGATCTCTACAGACAGATGCGCAGGCGATTAGGAACCCTGATGCCCTTTGCGTTTACTCAGCCTCAGCAGATCAATCTAGCGCCCTGCAACTTTATGGAACTCAGCACCCCACTGCAGGATACTCTCCCCGAACTCTCCCTAATCTTGTAGCTGGCTCCCTGCAACCGTGACTCGGCGTTGCAGTCCTGACATCATCGAAGAGGCCTCTCCTCCCAGGGCTGCAGTAGCGGCAGCAGTAACAGCTTTCCCGCCCCGCTGGTCGCACACCAGGTGCGGGACGTAGCGCTCAACGTGCCGACCTTGCAGGTCCCTCGAGGGGCGGGGCGGGCGGTGCAGCGCGGCTTCACTGCAAGCAAGCTGCCATTGTGGGCGGCTGGACGCTCACTCGCCCTCCCCACTCAGAGACCCCCGCACGGGGCGCTCTGAACGTCCGGGAGACGCACACCGGGCTCGCCTACCCTCGCGCCAGCTCCTCCTTGCAGCAGGCGCCCTACACGCCTCTCCGCCGGCGCGCGCTCCCAGCCCCGCCCTCGGGCGGCGCACGCACCGGCCGTGAGCGCGCGCCATCCCCGCGCTCCCGCGCCAGACTCCCGGTCGCGAGCGCGCGTGCGCTCCTCGCAACAGCCCCGGGAGCTCCGCCAGAGCGAGCGCGGGGCCGGGCGCACAGGAGTAAAAAGGAGGCGGCGGCCGCGTCTGCGAGCAACAGATCCGGGCGACGCGAGCTGACCTCGTCTGCTGCTGCCCTATTTCGTTCTCTCTTTCTTTATTTTGGAGTTTCAGGAAAAAAAATTATATTTGGAAAAAAAAATATATATATTTTTCTTAAATGGCGCTGGCCCCGGGTCAGCGGGCGGTTTTCTCTGCACCAAGATGGGCTTTGCCGTTTCCGTCGTGGGCACCCGTGGTGGCTTGATTGTCAGTCTTCTTCGGACATTTTTGAGGCCAGGAGCCGAGCACTGCACGTAGGCGACTCGCCCTCCAGAGCGGCTGGGCGTCTCGGATTGGGACTTGGGAGGCAGAGTGCAGTAAATTGCGAGCACCGCGTGCTCTCTGCAAAACCGGCGGCGAGCCGGAGGTAGGTCGCTCCCAGGGTGAAACCGCTCCCGGGCTGAGCGAGCCCGGCCCCGTGCGCAGTGCAGCCACCCCGAGAGCGTGTCCTGTCCCCGCCGCGCCGGGAAAATGGAGGCTGTGATCGAGAAGGAATGCAGCGCGCTTGGAGGCCTCTTCCAGACCATCATCAGCGACATGAAGGTAGGACACCGGGGGCGCGGCTGCTCTGACCTCGCCGCGGGGCTTCCCCTCCACCGCCGCCGGCCAGGCCCTTGCCTGCGCCGTGGCTGCCGGCCACCTGCGGGAGCTCTGGAGACCCGGGTGTCACCTGCTCACCCGCCGGGCAGTCCAGGCTGTGCTGGGTCACTGGGCAGGCGACTTCCCGAGGGGTAGTGGAGAGAGTCTGATGCCACTTGCCAACCCCTGCATTCATAATCCCAGGGGGCGACACCATCTTGTTCCTTTGGGGGATTAGGGCCCTAGTTCCAAGTTTTCCATTGTCTGTCCCTGGACTGAATGTCTGCAACCCGTGGAGAATGGACGCCCTGGAGGACACCTGACTCCCTGGGTTTGGGGTGGGGTGCTTAGCGCGGTGGTAGAGCGGTAGTGGGGGGGCCCTGCTTGGCTGCAGGAAGGAGTCTTCCGGCCTGGGAGATTGGGTGGCAGGGTTGTTACAAGCTTGGCTTTCAGGTCTGCCTGGAGTAGGGGAATCTGAACAAATTAGTTATTAATTAGTCTGTTCCAGAGCTGCTGATGGTGTTCCCTGCCTTCCCCATGCCCTCCCCCGGGGCTCGGCGCAGAAGTTCCCAGGGTAGTCTTTCAGGGACCCGAGGTTGAGAGGCTTACGGAAGGAAGGCAGGGTTGAGGTTTCCAAAACTACTATACCCAGCTCTCTCAAACACACATCCACACCCCACTCTTCTCTGGGAAGGATTGTGTGTGCGTGTGAGTGCGCGCGAGTGTGTTGGGGGCGGGGAACAACACCCTAGCCTTTTCCTGCAAAGGGTGGGACTGGAGATAACCTGATCCTCCAATGTGGGTTTTCTGGTGCTCAGAGGTAGACCGTGACTTAGGTTACCCACCCTAATGAAATAGAAGCAGCTCCAGGAGCTGCCTGGGTGAGGGAATTGGGGGCGGTAGGGGGGATTTTTTCCAGTGTATTTAGGGAGCTTCTCTTTGGCTTGAGGCCAGCCCCAGTCTGCCTCAACAGATCCGGGGAGGTGGTGTTTAATTAAAAGCTCGGCTTCCAAAAGAGTGGGCAGGTCTGGAAAGCTGTGCTGGCGGGTGGGTGTGGACAGCCCCTCTTCAGCCGCTGCCTGGCGCCTGGGGAAGCTTTTGTCTGATGAACTGTAAGGTTTGGAGAGGCCGTGGGCCATCGACATGACTTTGGGGAAGAATGTTCAGCTGTCGTGCCTGCCTCCTCCTTTTAGAACCAACTGTCACCTCATCCAGTGTGAACTTTGCCAAGGTGCTTGGTTGGTCCCGCTCAGGTCCATTTTGCAATCCTACCAAACTCGTGCCTTTTGTCAGAAATCCTTGTAGCCTAATCTGTAGCCAGAGCCTGCTCGCCCAGGAATGCCTCTAATCCAGTCGCTTGGAATTAGATGGATTAGTCTCTTCAAAGATAGCCCCTTTCATTCCTTTGCCCTCAATTCACATTGAATTATTGAAGTGTTCTTTTGAACAAAGATTGATGCCCCTCCTTGGACTCTTGTGTTTATTGTTAACTTAAATTTCACCCACTTTATTATAGTCAAAACAAGATTTGGTTTGAGGCACACACTGTATGTTGTGATGTACAGGGGAGGTATTTGAGATGGGTTGGTAAAGCTGCCTTTTTTTTGGAGGAGGTAATGATGTTTCCAGTCCCTGAAGAGAAATGAGGAATCCTGGGATCTAAACTGATCCCTGACTTCAGTTCCAGAATAATCACACCTGGAGTTTTCTCTGCCTTTGATGATGATGATGATGATGAAGATGATGATGGTTGTTTGTTGTTGTTTTAATCCAAAACCAGGGCTCAGTTCTTTCCAGTAGGTGGTTTGAACCCAAAGACCTTCAGAAGGTAATTCTTCCCCAAGGATGGGCTGTGCCATCTTCCATCCAGCATCTGGGTGCCTGGTGTAGGCTCTGCGTAGACATTTGTAGGTGGAAGACACACTGCTCTCTCAGTGTTGATTCTAGTTTCTCTTTGAGTTTGGTAGATTTTTTTTTTCTCACTTGACAGTAGAATATTTCAGACTGAAGGTACAGCAGGAGGGAGGTTACATTGTGCTTGGATTCTGAAGAATTCTAGGCTCTTTGGGGAAGAGAGGGATGGGGGATAGCGTACTGGTTGTCTGATTTCTAAGGTTGTTGTATGAGTAAGGGAACTGCTGAATATTTTTTCATGGAGTTTTCTTCTTTAGAAGACTTCTTTATGGAGTGGCCAGCGATGACAGTTCAAAAGAGAAGTGACGAGATTAAATTGGGCTTTTGAGGACAGGCAGCATAGGATATATGGATATGTGGGGTTGTCAGCAAGAAAGTCAGCTCTTGGTGTCGCCTGGCGTTGTGATGACCTCCTTGTCCTTCCTATCTTTACACTCATGACCAGCTTATCATATTTTTGGTTCCCTTTCTGTTGGCTTTTAGGGAGAAGCCATTTGGATTGTCATCTCGGTATCATTTTTAGGTGATTTTTTTTTTTTTTAAAGTAAGGTTGAGTTGGGGTGAGAGAAAGGCTAAGAACATTTTTTTTTTAAATAGCTTTGGAGACTTCATAAATGTACAGCAACACAGGAAGGGAGTCAATTTCCTCTTTGGAGAAAATAAAAAGATAACAAGAGAGTGGAATAATTCCACGCCTGTGCCATCCATCTTCTGAAGCAAGGAGCCTCAAGACACAGCAAAGCTCTGGAGAATTCTTTGTGCTTCCTGCAAAGATTCTCCATGGGGCTGAGTCCTGGGCCCACAGGGCCTGTGTTTATCCCTTTCAGGGGTAGGATGAGGAAGAAGTTATCACTTTGCTTCCATTGGGATCAAGCCCCAAGGAAAGCAAACAGCAGCTGCTAAAAAACTTACTGATTCCTTGAGGAGAAGAAAGCTCTGTTTTTCCCCTTCCTTCCACCCTGCTGTGGTGGTGGTCACTAATGAATGACGGTGTGCAAAATCACTTACTGGCTGTCTTCCCTGAGATCCACGTAAATCACCCTCAGAGCTCCGGAGGTGACTGTTGACAATTAGAATCTTTTTTTATTTCTATCCAAGTTCTGGACTGAACTGGCTCTTAGTAAGGTAAACAGATTAGTGTTGTTTGTTTTGAATCATTAGACCAGAATTTGACTATGTTTCTGTGCTTTTTGTGTTCCAGAGACTTTGCTAGCCAGACTTAAAGAGTATCTCGCCCTGGAGACAGCAGTCTTCTTTTAATAATTAACTTTTATTTAAAAAAAAGACACAAAATCAAATATTTCCTCATCCTTGTTGCTCAAGCACCAGGATGCCGGGGGCTGTGTTGGACCTGCTGTGGCTAGAACTTTGCCCTGGGTTCAAGTTTATGTAATATGGGTAAGCTAAAAAGTACCCAGTTGCACCTGAATAAGCTGTTCCATGTGTCGCTTTAGACAGGGGTGTTCTGTTACAGGCACCTGTGCTGAGCAGAATAGTGGCCTTGTTCAGTTCCTCCAGACTGCCCCCACTTCTGCTGGCCACCAGTATCCTCTGTCTGAAGGTCTGTCTAAAATTAGAGCTGCCAAAGGGACATCTTGAATTCCACAGGGATCTTGCTGTGGGTCAGAGACACACGGAGATATTTCCCCTCACCTCTCATGAGGTGACAATATAAGTATCAGGTCTGACACCATGCTGTGACTTTACAGCTGCCCTGTTCACTGTAGTAAGAAGGACTCACTTCCTAGCTCTTTATTGAGCCTCCTATGTAGATGGCCTTTCGCTAGGCCCTGCCCTTGCTCCTTTCCCCCCCCCCCCCATACAATATGGCTGCAGGCAATGAAGGAAGGAAGGTCTGCAGTTTACTCAGGGGAAGGGCGTCCATCAGTCTTCTTGGACTTCTCTTTCAACTTGCTTCAAAATAAAAGGGGTTTCTGCAGTAAGATAATGAAAAGCCAGCCAGGCGACCAGGTACTGGGAGGGAAGTGGGCTGTTGTGCGGAGAGGCTGACAGCTACACAAAGGCAGAACAAGCAGGGCCCTGTAATGGACAGATGGGCCCCATGTTGGCTTTTCTCTTGGCAAATGGTTGTGTTTGGCCAGGGTTTTACAGCTTCCTCATTTTGGGCCTGTGGGAGAAGAAGACAAAGTGAAGATGTCATACAGTTGGCAGTAGGAGCTGCCCAAAGAGGGCTCCTCCTTCTCTTCTAAGGGAGATCAGTCTTTTGGGAGTTCAGGGTGTGAATCTTGTCTTCCTTTGGAAATATGTTACTTTGGGGGCTTAACTTAGCTATTCCGTGGGGAAAGCCCTTTTATATTCTGTCAAATAAAGTTGTTTAGAACTTGTTGCTCAATGTCCTGAACCTTTATGCTTTGGAATTCCATAATTCATAAAGGCCCAGATAGAGGGTTCATAGTTTGCGTGGAAGATAGACTGAGCTCACCTCTGGTCTGGTTCAGCACGCACCTTTCTAGAATAATATATGTCCATCTCTGTGGTATTTTATTTTCAGCTGTCTTGGACCACCAAACTGCTGTGATGTCAGGAAGTCAGACCCAGCCTCTCTAGCTGTCACTTGCACTGCACATACACAGGGAACACTGAATACAGGCGCAGTATATCTTACATAGATCCTGTCTTCCCAGCGGCTGACTGCCTGCTTGCCCTCTGACATCTTCTAGCCCAGCTTGGGCTGTAAAGGAAAAAAGAAGAAAGCCAAAATGATACAGTCAGTTTGGGCAGCTCACTTGAGGTTGCTAAAATGCTCGGCGGGTGAAAAGGTTGAAACTATTGATCCATTCGATGCTTTATCATCTGTATCTAAGCTGTTTCCATCTTTGCAAGGACTGGTGAGAACTGGCAGGGTTCCTTGTGAGATGAGACCGTTTAGAGGTTCCCATTGGGAGATGGAAAAATGAGCTCATTTTAAGTTCCCCATTACTCCTTGGAATCGCCTTCAGGACACTTTCCCACCAAACCCACACCTCTGCAAAAATAAAGAAATTGCCTTTCCCCAGACCAAACAGAAGCCAAACAGAAGACAGATTTTG